CGATCAATGCACCGGGATTGTCACTGGCATGTAGAAAATATGGCGTCGACGGGTCATCGGTTGGATTCAGAGCAGTAGCCATCGTATTTGTGTAGATCGGATTTATATAGATCGAATCTGAAGATATCGATCTGAGATTGAGACCGATTTAGAATGTAAAAATCAGAAATCGTCGTCGGAGGTGGAAGACGAGACCGAGAATCAGTAAGCGGAAGCGGAAAAAGGATCGGAAAATAGAAAAATTCCGGCGAATGTTACCATGTAAGATCTATGAATGTTACAGATGAAAGAGAGAAGAAGAAGAAGAAGAAAGGTTGAGTATGATATTGAGAAAATGGGAAAATTAACAAATTAGAGTTAAGGTTGGTGTACCAGTCCTATTTATACAATAAGACCAATAGACTAAAATTGCTAAAAACATATTGACAACTTATAAAATACAGATGCACTATTAATGCTAAATTACTAAACTATCCTATATGTTAATAGTTGTTGCATCAAACAAGGAACTTCAAATTGTCCTTTTCATCAGTTGCAAATTGCAACCCTAACTTTCGAATAACATTGGACATCAATTCCCACAAATTTTGACTTGTAGAAATTAAATAAACGAAATTAATGACGAATTTGATGGATAATAAGAACACAGAATACAAAATGGTGAATATATAATTAAATTGGAACGTTCGATGGGTGGATCATGCAACATAACAAGGCTGTAGTAATGTAGTTATTTTAAATAATAAATTGTTACATGCTAATAGTTATTTACTAAAATATTGTTTCTACCAAATTTAATCAGCGAGTTAGACTTTACTAATTTCATACTTATCTGCCATCACCAAACTCAATAGTTATTCACCAAATATTTCTACACAATCAGCAAAACTCACTAAGTTGATAATTATTGTTTTTGGGATACTTATATGCAATCCAACCATTGAACCTATACAATAAATTGAAAATTTGCACCAAACATGCACACAATTACTAATGAAACATTGTATCGCTGAGGTAGAGAGCCTATTTTTTTTTT